AACGTTTTGTCAAAGAGACTGTTAACTTTTGCAGGTAGGCTGGGGTGAGGGCAAGACAATGCTTTTAGGCTCTTTTTATGGGTACATCAGCCATTTTAACTTTATTGACCCTATGCACGTGATGTGTAGTGAGTGCTGATCAAGGTCCTCTGGATGGTGACCCAACTTGCATGTGGCACGCACACACCAACACACCAGATTCAACCTGGCCCAGCTGCCTCAAGAACAGAAGCCCAGGGTCGATTTCGAATGGAAACCATAGGACACCAATATTTAACCACTGCCCACTGGTGCAGCCAGACTGGTTCAGGTACAGAAATCACGCACCACTGTCCCTGTGAAGCGCCCAGCCTCTCCACAGACCAGTAACTCAAGGGTTAATGCCCAGCCCACAAGGGGATCCCAGGACGTGGACTGGCCCTACCCATGCCGACTCCTGAAGGTGCCTCAGAGTTTTGGGAACCGATCTGAGCAAGGGGGAGGCAGCTTTCTGGCCGCGAGCACTAGAGCCGGGGGAGACGGGGGGCAGCTCACCTGGCGATGCCCCCGTAGTCCAGGCCCTCCTCACCCCGCATGATGATGTAGAGCCGGCGGCGCAGGTCATAGGGCTTCATGTTCATGATCTGGGGAGACAGAGCATCGTGGCCAGCCTGCCACTCCCCACTTCCATGGTGGACCGGGGGCAGGGGGCAGGGAATTCTAAGTCCTGCTCTTCCGCAGACACTTGTCACCAAGGCCCACACCCTGGAAACTCTACCATGTGGGGCTAACAGGCCACATGATCGAAGATGGGGTGGTGTGAGGGGGCCTTCTGCTCGCTGGGTCTTAGACACCATGATTATTCTCTAACCTGTTGGAAAGAATCCTCGAAAAGCGTCTGCCTGGAAACACTGATCTTCACATGGCTGGGGAGGGCATTTGACTGAAAAAGAAAAAAAAGGAAAAAAAGAAAACCAACCCCGAATCAGGACCTCAGTGGTCACTATTCAGTCGGGTCTCCTGTCTGTACAAACAGGCTTCCCCGTCTCCCTGGGCACGTGGCAGAGAGCCTGGTACCCCAGAAATGGGAGCTGGTTGTCGGAAGACGATGTCTGACAATGCTCAGGGCAGGACAAGTAACCGGCCCACACCTGGAATGCAGGCATCTCAACACCTCTGCGAGACTGGGAAATCATGCCAAAGTAACTCGGTCAACCCCAGTGTCTGGGGGAGGTCCGGTCCCAGCACTCACGTGGCAGAGGAAACGGAACTGGTGATACTTCCACCGAAAACTTCGGTCGTAGGCACCAGGGGAACCTTGCTTCGTCCTGGGGAGAGCAAAGATGTTCTAGAACCCACGTGATTTCTCAAAAATTAGCAAAAGTTAGCCCTGAGGAAAGCTGATGCTATGTTAAAGACCAGAAAGGTGGGCATAAAAGAAAGGAAATAACTGGCATTTCTGTAGACAGATTTGAGAAGTAAAAACAAAAACCAGAAATAAAGCCAGACCTCTTGCTTTTAGAGAAAGACCACTAGTGTTATTCCGAATAAAGAGGACAGCCCCCCTCCCCACTCCTCCAGATCCTCCTGCAATCCCCTCTACTGTGATCCCAAAATTAGCCACCAGAGGGCAGTAAAAGGAGAAAGACAAGGATAAACCCGGACCTTGCGAACAGATACTAAGGTGGCCTGTGGGAAGTCCTTACCCAGACTCAAACCCTGGGCGAGGATCCTTAAAGGTGGTGGTGCGTGTATTGTGGTCCACAAAATAGCGTACCCCTTCACTGGTGTACTTCATCTCCCACCCCGGGGGCAAAGCTGGTTCCTGGATCATCCTGGAATCACAGGAAGAGAGGAGTTATGAGCCAAGCTCTCCTTCTGGGCCTCAATGCTTAGGAGGCTGGGGTTCCCCAACTGCTGCTTTCTCTCTGCTTTTACCCGGGCTCCGCACAGCCCTTGAGGGTGGCCCTTGAGGAAAGGCACCTGGTACCACCCAAGTCATGAGGACAGTTCTGGAGCAGAGAGAGGTCATGTACCAGCTCTGGGTAGATGGCCGTGGCCTGAGTGGCCAACCAGCAATCGTGAGACTCCACACGCCCCTATCCTAGACTAGCTTCTGGAGGGTGGGGGTGCAGAGGTTCCTTCAAACCTCTTGAAATCACACTATTAGCAGCCTGCACAAGTGGCAGAGACCAGCGATACCCGCCAGTCGGGCCACTCTCTATCCATCAGGAAGGTCAATTTAAGAAGCCACGTTCAAGGCTCATTAGGCAGACACTATATGGTAAGGGTCTTGGGGTACTGGTGTGTAGCTAAAGATCCCAGAATAATGACCAGAGAGGACCAACGCAGGTCAGGGCACTTGGCCAACACTGGAGCTACACGGGGCCTACACGGGGCCAACCCGGCCCAAGTCCTTACCCCTGGGTCCGAGGGTCCTCCCACTGGGTAGTGCGTGTGTTATGGTTCACGTAATACACCCGTCCATTGTCCTGTCTCTTCTCTGCCATGGGAGAAGAAAGAAAAGAGGACAATCAGCTTGAAACATCTGGAGCCCACGTCCACTCCCCTCTCCGGAGCACCAGGTCCGAATTTCTGCTCCCATTCCCCACCTGTTAGAAAAGTTTAACCGCTGAAAGCCTCGCTCACTCACATCTCTCACTGTAAAGAGGACAAAGAGAATCTTTCCCTATTGGGGAGTGGGGGAAGGATAAACACATTTCCAACTCGAGATCCAGCACTGTCTTTGGTTGGTTGATTCGTTGGAGGGAAGGGGGTGGTGTGGCAACAGGGAAGGGGAGCAGCCCAGCTGAAACCAGAGGCCTAATTGCATCCAGCTGTGTGCAAAGTGGAGGCACGGCCAGGCTCCCCTCAACCCCGGTCCCCACCCCAGTCCCTCATGGGCTGGTCTCTGGTCCTGCCACTGCTCCATCCAAACCGGGTCACTGCGGGGGGGGGGGCGGCTGCATTTTCCTTCATATCCTTTTGATCAGCGCTCTGTACCACAGGGCCTATCTACCGTCCACCTTATCTCTTTCCCCCTGCATAAAGGCAAAGCTTTGTTCTAAAACTCTCACATCTCAGCAAAACTGCTACACCGCACGTGTGCATTATAAATGCCTAGGGCTGCGGGCACTTACAATGCCCACTTGTTCCTACACCTAAGTGTGTGCTTCGAGCCACGGCAGTGTTTGGGGGTGCTCAGACATACTGCCCCTGTCCTCTGGACAATCCTTACTCTCTCCCCTCTCTTGGGGCTTGGGTGCTCACGGGTGGGAGTCTGGGCAGACCCAACTCTAGCTGGTGATTCCGGGCTTTGAGAGGTGTTGAGAGGGGTGCCCCATCAGGTCCAAGTGGATGACAGGCTGCGAACCCAAGTGAGGTCAGCTTTCCCAGGAAGTTCTTGAGCCTTCAAATCTGTTTCTGTCCCCCAAACAAATGATGCAAATGGCCCTCCCTCTTTTACAATGAAAGGGCGAAATTAAAGAAATAAAAATAATTAGTTCCAGAAGTGAGGGGGAAACCAAAAGCTAAAAAAGGCACAGAACCGAGGAGCCCACTCCTCTCCCCTCAAGCATCAGGCTGCAACGTTCTCAGGAAAAACCCAGGGTCTTGGACTCTCTGCCTTACGTGGTATCCATTACTTGACAGAAATTTTTAAAGCACAGACAAAAGGAAAGAAAGAAGATGCCCAAAATTATGACAGAGCTACCTCAGCTCAGTTTATGGGACTGTCCCACAGAAGGCAGGCTTCCCAAGAAGGTTCTGAGGAAAAGGAGAAGCCGTTCCCATCCCAGAAGCTTCTGCTTTGAACTAGATCCTCCGTGTCTGCTCTGCCAAGGGTCAAAGCCAATGCTAATCAACAGGCCGGGAGATCTGTCCAGCCGGCCTGGGGGCTATGCACTCGCTGCTGTGGGCGGAGGTGGGGGCTACTGGAACTGCCTCACTGCATACAATTTCACAGTCTGAGGGCTGGGAAAGTCCTGAAGTGAGCATCTAGCTTGCCTCCTTTGGGAAGAAGCAGATTTGGAAGCATTTAGTCACATGTGCAGGGTCAAGGCAGCTGAAGAGATATGGATCTAAACCCAAGGTGTCCTGACCCCTGGGTGTAGGGAGAACCGTGGGGTCTCTCCTGGAGGAGCAGAAAGAGACCTAGGACGGTGAGGAGAGCCCAGTAGATTTGATCGCAGGCTCCCACTAAATGCAATTCTCACTCGGTTCTGCTGCTCTTCCTGTTTGCTGAACTCTCCTTGGGAAGGTGGCCCTGTCCCAGCCCTGAAAAAGCCAACACAGAGCCCAAAGGATCTGCTTAGGGAGGTTCCCTGGCCCTCGGCCGGATGTTCTTTCTTCTCAGTTTCATATGAATATAAGCTTGTGTGTTTTCCTGGTCGTATGTAAACACCGCTGACTTTGCCATGGCTCCTCTTCCCATCTCAGACATTCCACACTTGGCTTCTGGGAGCTCTTTTCGAGGCGCTAAAGCTGCTCTTACTTGGTGACCATCATGTAACAGAACCCGTACAGAAATCAATCATTTGACGCTATAGATCCACGAGCAACTCTGGGTCCCTGGCTCCAGGTCACAGCGTCTATTGGCTGCCAAACAACACCACGGATTCTTGCTTAATCTGAAGCGTTCTCCCCTGCCTCGCCTGGGATCCTGTGTTTGACTCCTCAGACTTGACTGACTGCTGATCTCTGAGATACCAGGGACCTTTCATCAGTTCAAAGAGCCAGGTGGATGATCTGTGTGCGTAAGGGATTCCCTAGCTGAAAATCAAGAACTGTCTGGATGCGCCACTAACCAATATGTCCCCCTAGAAGGTCTACAAGGTCCTTCCAGGGCTCTGGAATGCAGTGGTAATGCACTAAGTGACACCCTGTGGGCCCAAGGAGGGGGGTGATGCAACCTGGTAAATTACTACCAGGGAGTAGTGTGTCTGTACCAGGGGGTTCCAGCTCAAAAGCCATACTTTTCCAGTTCATGCTTATCCTATCATTGTCTGCTTCTCCATCTTTATTGGGGAGCGTGCGCCTGCCCAATTTTATATCCCATGTGCACACCACCAAATTAGCATCTACTGTCCTCCACCGGCCCAAACAATACATTAAATCCGACACCTGCTGATTCTTGCAAAAAACTGCCCTCTTCCACCCCCAGGGACTCTTTCTGTACTGGCTCAGAGCTGCAGAATGCACTGAGTCTCACCATCTCTCATGACCCCTTTGTGCATCATCACTCCTACCCAAAATAGCCACAAAGCCCATAATTTCTCCCAAGTCATACATGTCCATCCTTCTAACTCACTATTGGCAAATCACACACCGGAGCTAAAATTCTCCAGTTGACGAGGAGAATCCAGCATGGTACTATTAACCAGCAACGATGCACTTTCACTGAGTTGCCACCCGGCACTCAACTCTCTCAACTGCTTCCCTCTGGCCTCTTTCACAACTGTGTCACAAAGAAAAAGGGTGGCTTTCTTTAGACAAAATTAGGCTGAAGTCCTCCAACATCTCAGCTGCAAAGAAAGTTTTGGTGGGGTGGCTCCTCCCAATCACACAGCCACAGACCTGAAACCAATGCACCAGCGAGTAAGCCGGCGCCAGAATGTCTTAGTCAATGACAGGTCGGATGGGTGGGTAGACAGTTCAAGGTCAGGACCAAAACCCAGCAGTCCCATGGCCGCCCAAGGGCTCTGTCCGCAGGGTCACACTCCTTCAGCCATGGCGGGTGAACGCTCCAGGGGTGCAGGGGAACTCAACTGCCTTCCCAACCTTCCAGCTCCAACGTCTGTAACTGCTCAGGCTTGGCCTCCCCACGGAGCGTGCTGGCGAGAAGTAAAATGGGCAGCTGAGGGCTGGGAGTGAGGAAGCCGCTCAGGGAAAGACGACAGAGCACAGTGGGGCATCAGCTGACAGACGGCTGAGTACACGGAAGAACTCAGTACTTACCCCAGCCAGGAGGGAGGGGGCCCAGTGGGTCATGGTCAGTCGAAGTACTTGAAGACTAAACACAAGAAACACAGCAGAACACAGAGGTTAAAAAAAGCCGCCGGTTAAAAATAAGTCGATCGATAAAAATAAAAATGCCAAGGACTCGTTTTCATATTTGAGCACTTGGTACACAGGCTACAGTGGGGCCTGAGGTGACATCCCCTCCTCCCAGAAGTTTTTCTCCAAAAAGAAAAACTGAAAAAGAGCCCCCCACACGGAGGGCCCTGACAGGTTTTGGAGAGGGCGGAGCGAGGGGGAGGAAGATGCGTGCAGGGCAAGGTGGGCCAGGGCTGTGGAGGCAGAGAGCCGGCCCCAGGCGTGGCAGAAGGGCCTGGGCCCGACGGCCCCGCAAGCTCGGCCGGTGCCTCTGCTCTCGGCTCCGGCTCCCCGGCGGCCAGGGCGACTGAAATCACCACCACCTCCAACTTTCTCCAAGAACCACACACGGGAGGGGAAAAAATATCACAGGCCTTTCCAATGAAATCATTCCCACAAGCCCTGCCCACGCCCAGAGCTTCCTGGCTGGGGGCTGGGCCCTCCTCCCTCCACCTCCCTCCTGGGTGCGCTGCCAGAGGGAGCAGCCGTGGTGTGCAGAACCGGCCCAGACTGAGGGCACATTCATGCCCCAGGCCCCTCACCTCCCCCAGGAATGTTTTGCTTCCCTTCACAAAGCACCTTTATTCTCCCCCAGCCTGAACCTGAAGTTGCTTAGTGTTCTGTGTGTGCCTGTCTGGGGAGGTGGGGCGGGGGGCGAGGTGGCAAGCGAGCAGGAGAGACAGGAGAAAGAAGGCGGGGGGGG